TTAGTAATTTTGTTTGTTTTAGTAATTTTGTTATGTGCTTTTGTCATTTTTAGTAGTTTTTTTAAAAATAGTTTTTGTTCATTTTTATTTTGAATTATTTTAGTACATTAAATTAAATTAAAATAAGAAATGTTGCATTGGCAATTAGTTGAAATCAACAAAAACACATTAAAAACATAAAATACATTAAAAAAACAAGTTTTTAGTATTTTATTTTATTTCGGGCAACATAAATGTATTTCAGTTTTAATTTACTATAAAAACCCTGACGCACAAAATTTGTTTTCCTGTAAAATTGCGATTTTCTTTTTATTTTCATGTTTTGCAGATACGGATCTCACGGTTTAACGCTAAGCAAGATTGTTCCTCACATTTGTCATCTGTTAGGAGATCCCAGCAGCCAGGTGAGGGTCTTCTTCAGAGCATTGGGTTTGTGGTATTGTGGTCTATAGAGCCCCCTGCTGGTACTCACAGGAACTGCTGCTGACAGCCACAGCACTGTGGTTATACCATGGTATAGTGATGGAAATACCATGCTGATTTGATTATCTAACATGTTATTGAACGTTTACTCAATTCAATCATATTTGCATGCTACTTTACACAAGATATATGGAGTACCACAATGCAATGCAGTGCATTCAACTTCTACTACTGTTTTTATTTTAACGTTATATGTATATTTCCAGTATGATGAATGAAGCAGAAGTAATACCAGCAATCAAACATCTGTTTTTTAGTGAAGCCATTTGCAAATGTTTAGTGTTGCATATCGTGTAGTTTCACAGAATATGTGCTGGGCATCAAGCAGTGCTTTTGAACATAGTTTTGCAGCGTACTGTACTTCTTTAGTTTAAAGCCTGGTGTTTGTGGTCAGGTTCGGGACGGTGCGATGAACTGTCTGGTGGAGATTTACAGACACGTGGGGGAGAGAGTGAGGGTGGATCTGGGGAAAAAGGGGCTGCCGCAGTCACGGTAATAAAGAAATCACTGCCTCATAGCAACAGTGTCGTCCACATTTTACAAAACATATTTTATGTAATTTATTAAAAATCTATTTAAAAATTGAGAAATATTTTTTTAATTGTTTTAATTTTTAATGATAATTATTTTTACATTTTAACATAATTTTAATTTAATGTTAATTAATTAATTAATGAGTTATTATAAAAATAAAAACATTAATTAATTGATATTTTCTTAATTGTTTTTGGTTTTAATTATTTATAGTGCACAAACCACTTCATAGTTTTACCATTATATACTTTTTATACTTTATCATTTCTTTTTTACTTTTTTTTTGCTACAGTGCCACCTACATTTTGCAAAATGTAATTTATTAAAAATTGAGGAATATTTTTTCGAGGGTTTTAATTTTAACTTTTAAAATGTAATGTAATTTTAAATTAACGATTATAATTATATTTTCTTTATATTTATATTTTTTTATATTTTCTTTATATTTATCGTTTACCGTGCACAAACCACTTCACAGTTTAATATTGTATATTTTTTATACTTTATAATTTTTTTGCTACAGTGCCATGCATATTTTACAAAACATTTTAATGCAATTTATTAAAATTTATTTTTTCTTCAATTGCTTTGATGTTAATGATAATTTAATTTTAACTTTTTAAAATTCAAATATCATGTTAATTTTAGTGATTATTTTAGTAGTTAGTTATAAAAATCAAATCATTAATTAATTAATATTTTCTCAATTGTTTTGGTTTGGCTTATTTACAGTGCACAAACCATTTAATCATTTTAATATTGTGTATTTTTCAAATGTATCAATGTTGCTCATTTGACAGATAAAATACTGACAGCTTTAGTGTGTGTTTGTGTTGTAAATCTGCTCTTTTATGCTGTGACTGATGCTAAGAGCTCTAATGAAGATTCTTCTGTGTTTTGTTCAGGTTGAATGTGATTTTCAGCAGGTTTGATGAAGTTCAGAGGTCTGGGAACATGATCCTGTCCTCAGGTGAGTCAGTCCTGTTATATTTGATGTCACACATGATGATCTGTGATCTGTAATAAGATGCTGTCGGCTGTAAATCACTTTCTATCACCGTGAAAACGTATGAAAGCGCTTTCAGGTGCTGTATGAAGTTACCGGGGCATAAACTGTGGTTTCTTCTGTGTGTGTGAAATGCTCGCCGGTGAGATTGTTCCCATTGTTAAGCCATTGTTTCCTCGCTGCCCCAGTTTCATTGTGTGTGTGTGTGTGTCTGTGTGTGTGTGTTTGTGAGTGTGTGTGTGTGTGAGTGTGTGTGAGTCTGTGTGTGTGTGAGTGTGTGTGTGGGTGTGTGAGAGAGAGTGAGTGTGTGTGTGAGTGTGTGTGTGTGTGTG